TTCAGCAGTCTTATCCTAAATAAGCATTTCAGCAGTTGAAACACTGAAAAAAAACCCCACAACTATGCAATTTTAAAGTTGTAGCACAGTATATATGTATGATGGTGTTTCAGTTCTCAAGAATTAATAACTGGACACTTTGTGTTTTGTAGATGCTGTAGATGGTAGGGAAGAAAAGCCTGCTGCTACTGACTCTAATGTTAAGCCATCTACTCAAGTAATAGCAGCAAGTATGTCTGCATTTGATCCACTAAAGAACCAGGATGAAATCAGCAAGAATGTCATGTCAGCATTTGGCTTGACAGATGATCAGGTGTCAGGTAAGAATACATCTTAGGCAAAGGAAAGCTAAACACGTTAATAATTGATGACTCAAATCTTGATTTGTAATAAAGTATTGGTGTTTTGGATGTATGAAGCTGTGTTCTGTATTCACTATTTTAGAATTCTAAAACTTTTTGTATTAAGGTGGTGTAACTGTTTGCTAACTTTTGTATACAAACTGTTTAAATGTTGCTGTTAGTAGAGTAACTTGGTTGGCATTTGCTGGTGATAGAAAAACCGCCTCCACTGCTCTGCATCCCTAATGGGTTTGAACGTACAGTTCAGCTTAGGTTCTTGGCTTGCACCTCTGCTGTTTGGGTCAGTCAATATTTGGTGTGACCCTGTCTTTTTGTTTAATTTCAAAATGAAATGAACTTTTTGACTGTTAAGAGAAAGGAATAACTTATTTGTCTGATTTGTATTTATTCTTGAAGAGCTGCATGACTGTTGGCCCTTCCTAGTAATAGAATGCTAAACATAAAAACTGATCATACTAAACTGAATATGGTCGACAGGATAATGAGTTAGAAAAGCAATGTAGAACGTAATAGGGAGTGTGATGCAGAAATGGAGAAGTGATTTTTGCATAGAATATGTGTGGGTCTGGCAAGGTTTAATGTCTTTTTGAAAACTGAAAACTGGTGTCAGCGAACAGGACTTGCTGTTTACTCTCAATTTAAGAGCAAATAAATTTTATATGGTGTGTGAAGTAATGATACAGATGGGCAAACTAATACCAACTGGAGCTTGTTGCTGCAGCATGGCTGCCTTAGCAAAAGAATGGAGTGATGGGGATAGATCTGCACTGCACGATTGCGACTGTGCGGGATCCAAAGTTGTAACCCACAGACACAGTGGTTGTTGTCAGACTGGGGTACTGATAAGTGGATTAGGCCCATTGAATGATCTCTTCCTTCATGGCACATTTTGGGTGTTGTTATGGTATCATTATTTCACAGACTATCTCTGCACAATGAAGTGACAGAGCATGAAGAACAGCTAGTGTAAAATTGGCGCTAGTTTTTGAAGGAGTGGTTTTGTCTTCTGATACGAAGCCTCATCGTCAGTTAATGCTTTGATCATAGCATCAGTTACGTTTCAATGTTTGTGTCTCCATAATTATTCTGATAGAGTGAAGTGACTTGACCATGCTTTGAATGTACAAAGAACTTCACAGAGAGCCATTTAAACACAGTATAAGAAATAACGTTTCTGAGGCTATAATCTTGTTGTTATGTATATAAAGGCAAAACCAGAAGTAAGCAGATTTGATTCATTTTCCCCATAGTAAAGCTGACAAGAAAACACAAGGGCTTGTTGGATGTATGTTTATATTGTGTAAATACAACTTTCTTAAAATTGAAAGTCAATTTGCAGCAATTCTAATTCTTGTGCTTAGCTTTAAGCGTGCATTTAAGCATGCATTGAAGTGTGTTGTCTTATAGGTAGCATTCACATAGTGAAGAGCTGGAACGATCCAAGTTTTAGCTTCCTTGTTTCTAACAAAGTATTTTGCATTCAATTGTAGTATATTATGCCCATTCACATGCATATTTCAAAACTTCTCAGTAACACAGAGAAAACCTGAATTCTCTGGTTCCATGCTTTCTTTGGGTGCTAACTGGACTATTTTCAGAATTACCAAAGCAGACACTTACTTTTAGACTGAAGCCTGCCATATCCTGTCCAGGAGTGCAAATCTAATACGCTTCTTGGAGGTTTTCTGGTCACGTGCTATATGACAGTTGCTAAAAACGCTTTGTTGCCTGGGCCCATGTCAGCCACAGTAAACCACTGGTGCATTTGAACAGTTCCATGCAGCCTTTCACCTTTGCTCCAGATGAGAAAGAATAGGTACATAGCACTTTTGGAAAGAATATGCACCTAGGTCTTCCATGTATAAATGCTTCAAGCCATGGAAAAAAACACGTTGCCATGCAGGGTCATGTTGCTTGGAAGGATAAAATTTGAGTGATCAGGAGACAGCTGTAAGATAGCCCCAAAAGTATTTTCAAAAGCAAGTTTAGATGTGCAAATATATTTAGCTTTAGCTTGGGCCTGACGTTCTGAGATGTAAATCTATGGAAAACTGGAAAAAAATTTAAAACTTTGCAAGGGAATGTCCTTGTATTAGATTTTTGTTTTGTAATTCAGACTCTCTGTTTATTCTGCATACTGTATTTTGGTCTTGCTCCTGTAGGACCACCCAGTGCCCCTGCAGAAGAGCGATCGGGAACGCCGGACAGCATTGCTTCCTCCTCTTCTGCAGCCCACCCCCCTGGTGTTCAGGCACAGCAGCCACCATACCCTGCTACACAGCCACAGACTGGTCAGGTGGAAGGTAAGCAGCATGTTTATCTGCTGTTTAAGACATGAATGTTGGTGTCTGAATCTGGGTGGTCTGTAGCTAGGATTTACGATTAGCCGACTCAAGGTCGGCACCAAACTGCAAGTTCGTCTGTGCCGCTGGACAGAAAACGTTTTTTCCTCGCTTGCTGTTCCGTATAGAAACAGCAGGTGGAGCAGCAGCCATATTAAAAAGAATAGGTGGTGGAACATGAGGAGGATTTTCATGGTAGTTTTCAGCTTGATTCTGTGCTCATTTTACTGTAAGGCAGATTTATATACACTGCATTTTAAAGGTGTCTGAAAAATTTAATTCATATAATACCCTGTGTATTGTGTCAAGCTTTCGCTCAGCTAACAGTTTGTGTGCTTGTCTACTGTGAATTTAAAATATTTAATCATCATTTCTATCTAACAAAACAGAGCCATTACTGCATTGCTTCTTTACTATGTATGGCTCTGTGCTAGTCAGGCTAAACTTTGCAACTCTCTTCTCTGCATTGTAGTTCTCCTATGTAACCCTTGAAAGCCTCTGGCCTTTAAAGGCTTCCCTTTATAGCTTAAGGTCTTAACTCTGGTATTCAGAGTCCTTTGTACTATTCCCTTTTACATGTTACTTGACTTCTAAAAATAAACTTGTTCAGAGTTTTGCTACATTTGGACATAATTTTTTTAATGGATATTTTCTGAGAACACTAAGCCTTCAAATCTGCATAGTTCTGGATGAAACTCTCTGTGAAATGCCTGAATGAAGTTGAATCCAGTAATGGTCAGTCACAAGTGGTGCTCCCCAGGACTCAGTGTTGTGGCCAGTTCTCTTTAATGTCTTTAGTGCACTCACAGTAAGATTGCAGATGACACCAAGCTGGGCAGAAGTGTCGATCTGCCTGAGGGTAGGCTCTCTAGAGGGACCTGGACAGGTTGGATTCATGGGCTGGGGCCAATTTTATGAGGTTCAACAAGGCCAAAGCAGCCCATCAGAGAAGGACCTGGGGGTGTTGGTCAACAGTTTGCTTAACGTGAGCCAGCAGTGTGCCCAGGTGGCCAAGAAGGCCAATGGCATCCTGGCCTGCATCAGGAATAGTGTGGCCAGCAGGTCTAGGGGAGGTGATTGTACTCAGCACTGGTGAGGCTGCACCTTGAATACTGTGTTCAGTCTGGGGTCCTCCCTACAAGAAAGACATCAAGGTGCTGGAGCAAGTCCAGAGAAGGGCAAGGAAGCTGGTGACGGATCTGGAGAACTAGTCTTATGAGAAGTGTTTGAGGTAACTGGGGATTAGCAAGGAGAAAAGGAGGCTGAGGGGAGACCTTATCATTCTCTACAACTACCTGAAAAGAAGTTGTAAAGCTGGGGGTTGGTCTCTTCTCCCTAGTAACAAGTAGGACAAGTAGGACAAGAGGAAATGGCTTCAAGTTGTGCCGGGGGGAGGGTTAGTTTGGATATTAGAAGAAACTTTTTCACTGAAAGAGTTATTAAACAGGCTGCCCAGGGAAGTGGTTGAATCACCATCCCTGGAGGTATATAAAATACATGTAGATGTGGTGCTTATGGACATGGTTTAGCATTGAACTTAGTAGAGTTAGGTTAATGGTTGGACTCAATGTTCTTGAAGGTCTCTTCCAACCAGAACTATTCTGTGATTTTGTGGCTTGCTTTGGTATTTCTACCTCTGTATGAAATAAAATCAAAAGTTGTTTCTGTGTTAGTGTAGGAACAAGTTGCAGCACTCTGCTGCTTGCTACACAGGCATAATGCTGAGATACATGTGAGAGGCATTATTGACGGTGATGACTGGATCCACTGTCACTTGGCGTGTCTTGCCTGAAGGGCATCAGTAACATTTCGATTGAGCTGAATATTTGAGCAACTTGTAGTTATGTGTAATACTTAAGCAGGTATGAATGTTTTTGGTTGAAGTGGAGCTTATAAAAATTGTTTCGCTGCTTTCAGCTTTTATTTTTCCTTCCGTAAGAATTAGTCAAATGCTGTAACAGAGGTAGAAAGAGACATCTTTGTATCTTTGGAGTTTGTGTGTGGAAGTTACTTTTGGAAAAAAGTGCTGTAAGTTCTTCTGTCAGCAGCTAGAAAACTTAATATTAAAAAATTATACTCTGAACTACTGAACCTGCATTTTATGAGTTGAGTCTTTTTACTTTTTTCAATTTTAACTTCTACTTCATACAATAAGGTATGAGGTTTTAAGTGTTGATGTTAAGCCACAACCGAAACAGGAAAAGTAAAACACTGAGAGCACTAGGTTGGAATCCTGAATGGCTGCTAAGACCAGAGAACAGAAAAACTCAGCAAAGTTTCAGCAAAACTCATCTTAATTAGGAAAGAAGTTGTCTCATGCATCAGAGTAGATGTAATGATATTTTCTACATTTGGGTCAAGGAAAATATACTGGTTTTGTTTTTTTGTTTAGACACTGAACTGTGCTATACTTTTGCTCAAGTCCTTTTGTTTGCATGTAAAGCATCACCAATTGTGAAGGTTTTGGTCTGTAGTTTATGCAGTTTTTATTATAGCGGCTGATACATGTTAATTATTGGTTATGTTTTCTTCACTCTATGGATAAAATAGGATGGTTCAGCTCTTGGGAAGAGATCAGAAGTCATTATTGCACTTTGTTCATCAGAAATACTATTGGGAATGCTGATGTTGGCCATTGTATGGATGTGGTAAATAGCTGTCTCTTACCAAAGCTGAGCAATATGTGTGATTATCAGCTTCTGATTTTTTTTCATAAACTAAGTTGCTTTTATCCAAAGTGTTCCAGGACTTTGCTTTGAAACGTGGAGTAGCTTTCTGTAATTCACTGTTTGACAGCACCTCAGTCCAGTTGGAATCTGGGGACCTGTGTTGCCCTGTCCTGTTCTCCTGCAGCTGAGAACCCATGCAGGGCCATTGCCCAGCCAGAACTTCAGATATGTTTTGATAGTTAGGTTTTCAACAGGACTGGCTCACACAAGTGGCACTATTAGTACAGAGCATGTTCTTGTTAGAATCTAGTTTTAAACTAGTTTTAAAATATTAGTTCACTTCTTAAAAAAAACAAAAACACCCCAAGCTGTACTTGCCCCACCTTCCCAGTATTTTGAGAAGTAGAATGGTGATGCCAATCATATGTCAATCATTCTGATATATCGGGGATTATTTTTAATGGCATTCTTTGCCTGTAAATAATGTTATGGTGGTTATTAGTAATTATTTGTGAATACTGAGTCCCCTCGCCTCTATGTGCAGATGCTAATGAAAGGCTTGCCTCCTTTGCTAGAGGTTTAATCATCCACTAGTTTGAATTAAATCAATACAGCAAAGTAGTTGAGTGTAGTGTTGTCTCCTGTGGTATGACTGCTTTTGTCCCACTAAATCCGGTTGCTGAATACACACAGGAACAAATCATGTACAGGTGTGAACACTTTTTTAGTCTTTGCTAAAACAGATGTAAAAGTTACTTCGTGTAAGCACCTCATGATGTTCTAGGGAAAAGGTGTGTCATTGTATACCTATTTGGTCTTTTTTCTGAATCAAGCTAAAATGGCTGTTTCAGTGCACAAGAACAATGGTAAATGCTGGCAGATCCTTGACTGCATTAAGCACTAAGTAGAAAACCAGACACTGATACTGTAGCTCATCTTGTGTTCAAAATAAAATCCAGTGAGAAAAAAACCTGTTCATTTAAGGAGCCATAAGATCCCAGATTGTATTAATGGCTCTAAATTAAGAATGCTTTCTTGAATGGCACTGGAACACCCCTCTGCTCCTCACTAATGCTTCAGCCCAGTTGAAGACAGCAAACCTTCTCCGAAAGCTTTAGAAAAAACTCAATTTCTTTCATATCCCTTTATCTGGGCTCTCCAGCAGGTGCCAGTGTGGTCTCTCTTTCAGCCTGTAGATAATTATCCAAACATAAGCAGCCTCCTGGTTGTTCTCCCAGAACTACCATGTAACAACGGGATTTAAGTAAGAAAAAAAATATGCATTCCGAGTTTCTAATTTGTAATTATAAAAATAACAGGCTTAAATCTCTTCAAGCCTTGTGTTTAGCACACCCTTCATCCCACAATAATTGCATACCAAATAATAATATGAATGATTGCACCCATATGAAGTATTTGGAGCAGCTTAGTGGGAGTGTAAAATACCGCTGCTTTCAGCTGCCAGTCACATAGAGAAGAGAAGGAATAGGGAGTTATTTTAAAGCAGTGTGCGTAGGGGTCTGGGAAGACTTGGAGCAGAGCATTGTTGGTTTTGCCTTGGTGCAGTTCAGAAGATACAGCTTACAGTGTATTTATACAGTTTGCTGATCTTTGCAGAATGAAAAATTATACAGTAACACTTTATAATAGTAAAGTTTCCATGTCTGCTCTAGTTCAGCTAAGCTTTAGTTTTGGCAGATAATTGTTTTGGTTTTTTGACTGTGCCTGTTATTAAATTGAAAAACAGCAGAAGCATAAAGTCTAAACATGGCCCATAGGTTAAGTCTAAATGAATACTCTGCCAGTGAATTTAGGAAAAATTAGCATAGAATTGGAATAGACAAACTTAACAATGCATGGTTTTGTTTTTGCTTTAGGGTGTATGCCCCTGGGTCTCTTAAGAAAACATGGCTTACAGCAAGTCAGATATTAGAAGATGGCTGACTTATCTGGAAAATGTGGTCAGAATAAATAATGTACCACTCTGCTTACAGTACTCTGATGCAGAAATGGTCTTGAAAACCTCATATAAACAGACAACCTGAGGACATGTTTGACTTTTGAAGTACTTTAATTTACAGTGTAGGTTCTGGAGCTGTTACCAACACATTTAAAGATTCCTGCTCTGTTAGCCACCAGAGTAGTACTAATTAAGGTGCACGGCTTCTGGCATCCTCTGAAAATGTGAAGTAGTAAGCCTCACATACCAAATTAGAACCATTTATTCTTTTGGAGTTAAACATCACTTAGTCTTCAAAACACCCTAATGCAGAAACTAAAAACTGTAGATTGATTTAAGTTGGTAATTAGGTAGAACATACTCAAACTTCACTGTGTTCAGATTTTCTAAAAAACATTTTTACATCTCACGAGACAGTTTGTTTCAGTGATTTTTAAACTGTTAGGATGTTGTTCACTGTGTGCTTATAAAATAGGTAGAGTACTGGGGTTCAACTAAATAAGTTTTTAATCCATAGGTCAGATGTATCAACAGTACCCACAGCCTGGTTACCCTGGCCAGCAGCCGCAGGCTCAGCCTCAGCAGCAGTATGGTATGCAGTACCCAGGTAAGCAGCGCGCTCCAACCCCGGTTTAGCTGTAGAACCTCTCCTTCAGTGGTCAACCCTGTGAGCGTCGGTTCCTGCACCTGTGGGGCAGGTCAGGGTGCTGAGCAGCTGGAGTGCCTGTGGTTCTGATGGGAACTGGCATGAATCAAAAATTACCAGTAAGAGGACACTAGCTGCCTACATTTTTTTATAGCTTGAGCTGTGGTATCTCAATCCTACTTGGTTGTGACCAAAACCAGACTTCATTAGTAATCAGCAGAATGCATTGTTGGAAAGGTAGGCAGAATCAGTCACCTGAAGTATGAGATGTCTTCAGGATCAACTTCTGCAGTCCTAGGATTCTAATAAGTGTGTAAAACATCACCGTTTAGGTTCCTTACCTACCAAAGGTACATAAAGATGGTCCCTATTCCTTGCATCTAGAATGATCTCCGTGTACAAAACTTATTGGTGAGAACACTGATTATGTTTGTCATTTAGCAAATCCTTATCTGCTATAAATACTGTAGTTTCAGAGGAACTTTCAGGTGATGTTTTTGTAGTGGACTTTGCTGATGCCTCAAGTAAAGGTATCAGCAGAAGATCATTTTAGTGCACTACTGGTTTATGTGCAGTCAAATGTGGAACGCTGACTTTTGCATATACCCAAAGTAAACTTAACTTCAGAACTTGCAGTTACTTTACTTTATAAGCAGCTGGCATCTAATAATGCATAGTATATGCTAGGAATCATAATCCAACTAAAGTACAGGGATGAACCTGTAACAAATTGCAGGTTGTTTAATTCCTTTAGAAAATGATACTAAGCATTTATCATTCTTTGTTTTAAACAATCTTCCTTAAACTAAACAAAAGACTCCCATACCATTAAGTAAGCCCATACCAGAATAGAGCCTCTCTGGCCTTTATTTTGGTGTGCAATATATACAGTGCGAGTGCATCAGTTTTGATGTAGATTAAAACACTTAGCTTATGAAGAAATTCCATGTTTACATTCGATAGGAACCTTAGAAAACTTGGAACTGAAAGTTTGTGCCTCAGCCCTTGTTCCTGTGCACTGTGTGAGAGCTGGTTGATTTGGGTCTCTAAATGGTATCTTGTTCTCTGCAGATTTCTCGCCCCCACATTTCTAATTAGAAGACAGTAACAGACCTTCTGAAGTCTAATTTCAGAAGAAGAAACAAGCCTGTTGAAAGTAGAAGGGTCTAACTGACTTTCTTTAGGTTTAAAAACTGAGCGGGGGG